CCCCAGCTAACACTTCAGAAGCCGACCGCAGGTGATCCTGGGAAAGTGGCCTTGCTCCTTTGAATATGGCGCCTACGAGTGTTCAGAGGGGCCCTGAGCATTTCTGTCACTCATTTTCAAAGAGTTTCCTGGAGGAAGCTTGCAATCTCTGCACGGCATGGTTTTTCTCACTGCTCTGAAAGCCGCCTTCCGATTCACCCCGAAGCTACTGAGCGTGCATCAAAGCCTCCCATATGAGACGAGAGAAATTGCCTTTTCAATTGAAGTGATGAAAATAACTTAAATTTCCAGGGTGCCTGTTTCTGAAGATCTCATGGCTTGGTGAAAAGGCATCCCCTTCCCCAGCGCCCCAGAAATCTTTCTTTCCTTATATAGCACTTGATTGGTATAGTTTCTCAAAAAACTTAAACGCATTTCTCAGTCTCTTTCTCATCTTCTGATGTTGTGTCTTCAGGTTCAGCGCGTTTCATTTTCACTTATAGACATCTCTCTTTAAAGAGAATAAATCCGAGTCAGTGTTGATTCGCTTTTCCTAGTTCTCAGAGGGCTCAAGAACCCTGGAGAGCCATTTGGGGTATTTTCAGCCAGGGCCAATGAGATGACAGCACTGCAGCCCTGGGTCACAGCCTTCGGTGTCAATCTTAAATATTAACAGAATGCCGTATTCTTGACCTTTGTATCTGATACCTTTGCACTTGGTTCTTGCAGGTAGGTGAGCCCTGCAATTGTTCCTTGTGCTAGTCAGGTCTCTATTGCTGAAAAGACCACGGCCAAAAGCACCTTGGGGACCGTTAGTTAGTGTTTGCTATTGCTGTGATGAGATGCGGTGACTCTTGTAAAGAAAACATTTAATTGAGGGGGCTTGCTTAGGTTCAGAGGTTTAGCCTATCATGGTGTGGAGCATGGCTGCGGGCAGGAAGACACGCTGGAGAAATAGCCCAGTGTCCTACATCTTGATTCAGAGGCAGCAGGAAGTCAACTGACTGTCACACCGAGGACAACTTGAGAAAAGGACCTCCAAACCTGCCCCCACAGGGACACACTTCCCACAGAAGGTGTGGCCCAGATTAAGGGTGTGCCCTCTGGCATCGAGGTCTGGATTAAACGTGTGTGTCATCCAGGCTCCTCCAACAAGACCACACTTCCTCCACCAACGAGGTCACATCTCCTAATAGTATCATTTTCTATGAACTTATGGGGGTCCAAAACATTCAAACTACCACAGGGAGGAAAGGGCTTATTCGTCTTACCGTTTATAATCCATCCCAGAGGGAAGCAAGGGCAGAACTCAAGCAGTGACCTGGAGGTGAAAACTGAAACACAGACCGTAGATGAACATGCTGTCTAGTTTGCTCACCCTTTCCTATACAATCCAGGCCCTCCTGCCCAGGGGTGGTAACCACTCTCAGTGGGCTGGGCCCGCCCTCACCAATCATTAATCAAGAACTGCCCCACGAATTGCCCGTGGGCCAAACTGATGGAGGCATTTTCTCAGCTGAAGTTCCAGTTCTCAGATGCCTCTAGAGTCGAGCTGACAAAAAGCTGCGCTCCTGTTATGGCAACGTCCATGTTTGCCACCAGTTTCTGGGCTCCCATTACAGCAATGTCCACATTTGCCACTAGATTTGCTTTAAACAGCACAAAACAAAACTCAGCACTCAACACGTCTTAGTTAAATGAAGTTTGAAATCAGCCTGAATGCCAATACCAGACTACCAGTCACAAGGCACCACGTGTTTATAGATTTTGCACCTGATAATATCTTGTGAGCATTTCTCAGTCATTACTTTTGGAAATATGCTCTGAAAATGGAATGAGTTTATTGTGTGAAAGAACACTGAAGTTTCCTTTAGAACTCTGGATGCGGAATCAATTGCATCACCTGACTCCCTGGAGGGAAACAAACGGCCACAGACAAATGTTCCTGAAAATGACGGGGTGCCCTCCTTGAAGACACATCTCAAGAGAAACGCAATCGGCCTTCTCCAGTACAGACCCTGATTATGAGCTTGTTTTAAGGGATTGGTGCATATGGTTATGGAGTGACGGGTCTGACATCTGCCAGGCAGGCAGCTGGGGACTCATCAAGAGTCACAATCTTGAATCTGAAACCCATAGGGCAAGAGGCAGGCTGGCAGCTTGGGCAGCACTTCCGCGTCTGTCACCGTTCCACACTAAAGACAATGAACACGGCTTATAATCAGGTCTTTAAGAAATGGGTTAGTTCCCCTGCTGGTATTTTTCATCTACATGAAGAGATGACATTCTTCCCAAGAACATCTATAGATTCCCGGCCAAAACTTTAGGCTTTTGGAAGGTTGCAGGGATGTAGGCTTTAGATCAAACCAGATACTCTATCGACAGCTCCTGGTTTGAACAGCATCCCAGAAGGAAAACTTCAGAAACGTCGGTCTTAGGAACTGCACAGAATTATCGCGAATACAAGTAGGGCTTGCTTACTCACATGTTGGCACAGAGAGCCTGGAGGTGGCGCCACACAAATGTGTAGGTCCATACATGGGGAGGTCGGGCCATAGGGTTTCGTGGGAGGAAGATGCCAAACCACAGAATCCGGGTAACAAAGGACAGAAGGGAAGTGAAATTGTCAAAGCCGGAGGCTGAGGAGAGGACTAAGCGTGTGGGAGCAGAGGCAATTCTGACAGGTCTGTGACGGAATTCTGGGGGATGTACACAGGAGGCATGAGACCCGTGGAGCAGGGCTCTTCGGGACGGAATATAGAAATGAACTTTTATGAGACAAAACGGAAGTTTGGGGGACCTGAGCTTTCATCTTCTCGGCATAAGATAACAATGACGGCTCTGATGATGGGCTATTGACAGTTAGCACTTCTGGAGGACTCCAGAAGTTTCTGAACGGTGTGCTAACTATCTTACAGCTTGTATCTCATCTAACAGAGGTTAAGAGTAGATGAGCTGCTTCTTAGTGTCTAGTATACTCACAGGGAGAGCTCGCTACAATGGAGCGGGAAGAGGGAGACGAGGGGTTTAAGGAAATTGGGGACTCGGGGGTACTGGGGGCCTAGAGCATACTCACTGAACTCTCACATGGCTTTCTTTTATAAGGACATTAGCTGCATTAGTGCATTGCTTCACTCTCTGGGTGAAGTCATAGTCTGAGGTCTTACAGTAGTCCTCATAGTGAGTGTAATCCATAGTCTGACCTCGATGTGTGAGTTGGAAGGTTGACATAGTTCAGACTATAGCTGTACCTCAGACCAAAAAAGTCTCAATTTTAAGCCTAGGTGGATTTTTTTTTCCAAGTTGGTTGAGTTTTACCAAAACCTCCTAACTATTACAGGAATTTCACAAAAGATCCTGTGGGAACAGATCCTGCGAAAGTATGGTCAGGTCTCAAGCATCTGTGTCCTTGGGAAATCTGGATGCATCATCAACTCGGAGAAAGCACTCAGTAAGCTTTGAAATACTGAGACCCTGCATATGGTGGTTTGAATGAGAATGGCCCCCAAAGGCTCATTCGTCTGAATACCTGGCTCCCCATTTGTTGAACTGTTTAGGAAGGATTAGGAGGTGTGGCTTTGTTGGAGAAGGCCAGCCCCTTGCACCGGGTGTGTCTGTGCCATTACCACTTAGCTGTCTCTGCCTCCTGCTTGCAGGTAAGGATGTAGGCTCTCCGTTACTGCCCCAGCGACATGCCTGCCTGCCTGCCCGCCTTCCTGCCTGCCTGCCACCATGTTTCCCACTGTCATGGTCATAGGCTCTAACCCTCTGGAGCTGCGAGTCCCAATAAACTATTCTATAAGTTGCCTTAGTCATGGTGTTTCTTCACAGCAATAGATGAGTAACCAAGACGCTGTGAGTCGGGCTCCTAGGGAAGTTCTGTGTGACTCAAGGTACTGTCATCTCCGAACGGCTAGGGAAAGAGCGTGTGGTGAATAAATTAATCTCTCAATGTGTGCTCGTCTTCCTGGGGGCTCCTGGGTCACAGCTCAGAAGAGTTCCCGCGACAAGTTTTTTGTTTGTCATACATTTTCCCACCCTAAAATTAGCATCTGTTTTGTGAGATCCTAGGCTCAACCTTGGAGATGTTTCTGAGCTTTGCTTCCAGGCAAACGCTGGTTGTGGATTTTCCTTCATGTAGAGCCAGAGGCAGTGAGCAACCCCGCCGGAAGGAAGGGAGGGAGAATGGCTAATTTTTTAACAAGCACAGTTTGTTACAAAGAATATATGAAGATGTCTGACAAGGGGGAAGGCCAGGATATCTGTAGGCTTTGGAGGAGAGTAGGAGGAGAGCCCCAAAAGATGGGCGGGGGTGATATATTTAGTTACCGAATGTGAACTGCCTAGTTGTCTTCCAGGAAATGAGTCAAGGTTTGAGAAAGTGAAGTGGCAGTCTTATGTAGCAGAAGAAAAGTGCTCAGTGAACGGTGGTGAGGGCCGTCAGGAGCTATTCCTGGCAGACAGTCGTGAAGTAAATCTCTCCGGACCGGGAGGTTCTAGTGTAAGTTCACCCAGAGGGAAGCTACGTCTTCACTTACCGCTCCATCTGTCAGAACGGACTGCACACTTTGAGAAGACAAGCCTCCCCACCCCTTTCCTGGCACCACAGGGAACCACATGTGCCCACCGCCACCCCTTATAGGATTCTACTTCCCCGTTTTGGGGCCAGCAGCACTGGTCAGCTTTGCAAAACTACAGATATGTGCAGTGTGTTGTCTGTACATTTTCTTCTGGTATCACTTTCTGACTTTCAAACATTCCTTTGATCTCTCAAAGGCTTGTGAAATCCCAGCTCCTTCACGAAGGTTCCCTTGATCCTTCTAATCTGAATATTTTTCTAAGTCCCCTCTGGAGACCTTATAGAATTTTATAGTCGCGATAAAGATACAACTGCCACATCACCTCCTGGGATTTTGGGGAACTTGTTCTGACTCTATTAGAATTCCGGCGGATTATTTAATTTCACAAAGATATAAGCCTTGGCTTTCGTTTTCTTTGAAGCCTTGCCTGTAGAACAACTCTTGTGCATAGAAAGTACCTATCACCACCCATTGAATGAAACAGACTCAATGTCTGCTTGGTGATGTTGAAAGGATGGGAGACAATGACCCCCTTTCTGTGAGAACACCATTATCCAGAAGCGGGCCTGGTTCCACGGGGCTCTGGGGGAGCCTGGACTGGAAATGTGAGTAGGATGGGTTTGGGGCTGGAGAACAGGAAGGGCGCAGGGGTTTAGACAGTTTAGCAGACTTGTTCCGCTGTCTTGTTAAGATGCCATAGTGCAGGCCGGTAGGCAGTCTCACCAGGGAGTCTGTAGAGGGTCGTTTTTCATGGCGTAGTTAGAGTGAGCTTCCTTTAGCAGCAGGTCTCAAAGTGTTCATCCAACTCTGTCGTCCATAAGTTGACAAACTGGGGGAGATGAGGGCTTCACCCCTAGATCAGTGAAGTCGCAGAGACAAATCAAGGGAAACTTTCCTCTAGTAATCGACAGCCTGAACTCACCCAAATCCCTAGAATATGCTTGTAAGTGGCATCTTCTTCGCCTTAGCTTTTTGTATGTGCGTGACAGGGGTGTGTGAAGGGAGTTCACATGCTTGTATGTGTGCGTTGGCAAGCATGTGGAGTCCAGGGAGGTGACAGCCATCTTAATTTGGCAGGGGGGGGGAGAGTCGAGCAGAGTCTCTTAATGATTTAGAGTACACTCAAGTAAATCAGACTGCCTGGGCAGTGAGCTCCAGAGCTCCTCCTGCCTCTGTCTCCTCGGTTCTGGGGTTAAAAGCATGCACCAGCATGCCCAACTTTTTCTGTGGGTGGTAGGGATCAAACTTAAGCCCTCACGCTCCCGCGACAACAAGCACTTTTTCGGGCTGAGCTATATCTCTAGCCTGACTTTGATTTTCCTCGGGGGGGTTTTGGATCTGGTGACTGTGGTGGTGTGCAGTGAAGAGTCCAGAAATGTAAGAAATGTACACCCCAACTTCCGTTGTTTTTACTGAAAAATAGTGGGGCTTGAAGTGGATTTTGAGCTTCGTTTTGTGTTTAAGATGTGACAGTAATCCCAGTTAACCCCTTGAGAAAAATCTCCACCCTGATTGCTTGCTGTAACAAGTGCCTGGGGCCCTTTAGTCAGTGTAATAATTAGTTCTTGAGCTGCTGTTTGGGGTTAGGGGCCCCAAACAGCAGGACCCATACCACAAAAGCCACTTTCTTCTGCCTTTGTTTCTTTTCCCATGAACTCATTTTGCCACCAGAAATTAAGACTTCCCCAAAATTCCACAAGTCTGTGCCACCTAAGAACGATAGGGGTGAAACAAAAAAAAAATCACCTCTCTGGATTTGAAAAGCGAACTTGTAAACTGAAGATGCCTTAGGAATAAACGAAAACATTTGGTGAGAATGAAATGGAAGTGACATACGAGGGATTTGTGGTCTGAGAAGGGGCCAAAGATGTAAGCTGGCACTGGCCACAGCCTTAGGCAAACCCAAGAGCTAGACAACAAAGCAAGGGCCAGGACCTTGGGCGTCTGGGTGACTTTCATGCCGCGTCTGCCCTCTAGTGGCTGCAATCCACAAACTCCTTGCGAAAACAGGCACTGGGAGCAAAAGAGAAGCAGCTGGCTGGGGATTAGGATAGCAGAATATTCAGGAATGAATCAGCCTTGCCTGCAGCCACCTCCTCTTCAGGAGAGTGCCCATTCTTCTTACCTGTTCCCAGTGCCTGGCATAGTAGAAGACTCAGCGGTCAGAAGGCCTGATTCCATCTTTAGTCATTAAACTGAGTCGATTTGCCCAGCCTCCTACTGTCTTAACCAAGAAGAATACCTAATTTGAGAGTTGTGAAGATTATATGAACTAATTTATGTGTAACAGTCTGGCCTGGAGATGGTACATTTTAACCCTAGATCTAGCTCTCACATCCCCTTCATCTTTATTCACATTTTGAGTGGGTAGGTTTTCGGGGGAGGGGGGTGGCTGGGAAAATACATTGATCCCTATTCAGATTACCTTTGAAGTATCTCCAAGTAGCAGAATGTTTCATGTCTAACCCCTCTGAAGAGAAAAATACTCACCTTGGATCGATAAGCTCTTGCGATTGCAGGTTTTGATAAATGGGCTCCTCACGGTTTTCTATCATTTTTCCCTTCAGATGTATGAGTCGGCTTGTTCCTTCTCCGCTAGAGACTCCATCCCACTCACCCAGGCCCCCACCTCTCTCTCTCTCTCTCTCTCTCTCTCTCTCTCTCTCTCGAGAATTTTGGTTATTCGAGACAGGGTCTCTGTAGCTCAGGCTATCAAAGAATTCAATATATAGCCCAGGATGGGCTATTGAACATGTGGTGATCCTATCTAAGCATCCCGAGTACTAGGATTATGGGCACGAACTACCACATCTTACTCCAAAATGTATTGGAGTAGAATTTCTTGGGATCCTTGTCTGAGGTGGAGGGCTGTCTTTCTGGACAGGCATATGGCTGGAGTCAGTTTCCTCTCAGAGCCTAGCAGGGGGGCGGTGGGCGTGGGGTGCCCAGTGGCTAACCTTGCCTCACTTCCCAGCTGCTCCACATCCTACACTCCAGGCCTGAGGGGAGTCACAGCGCTTCCTCCAAGTTTTACTGGAAAGGGGCATATTAAAGTAAGAAAGCCAGAAGCTGGTGAAGTTGGTAGCCACATCCATCCCCACCGTGGGGATTGTGGTGTCATCAGGAGTGTTCAGGCATTTGAAGGGCTAGATCTTGAGACCTCATAGATCTCAAAGTGATCCAGGCAGTCATGGGCTGTCGTCATATGTGAGGCTGGTCCATGGGAGCCTGTCCCTCTCCTCTAACCCATGCTGCTGCAGAGAAAACTGAGGAACAAAGGGAGAAAACTGGGAATCTAATGCGGGGGGGTGGGGGTGGTGGTGACGGGATTCTTCCATCCAGAGAGGACAAACAAGTACCTAGCATGTTTGGAAAGCCTTGAGGAGGCTGCTGTGCCTGGAAAAGAATGAGTGTGTGTGCATGTGCGTGTGTATGTACATGCGAGAGAAAGAGAGAGTGTGTGTGTGTGGGGGGGTCTGAGTTGAAGAGGTCACTTCACCTTGCGAAAGTGTTGGCTTCTTCTGAGTGAAACAGAAATGAGAGTTGAGTGAAGAGAGAGCAGTCATATTTAACAGGATCAAGTAGGTTCTGTTAAGCCAAGACTGGAAGAGAGAAGGCATAGAAGCAGGAAGATCAATTGGGAATTCTAGAACTTTCCAAGCAAGACATACCCATGGCATAGATAAAGTTTGTAGTTGCTCTATCTTGAATCTGGAGTCTCCCAAAGACCTACGTGCTAAAGATGGGGTCTCCAGCCTGTGACTCCATGTAGTGATGGAAGCTTTATGGGGTGGGATACAGTCAGAAGCTGGCCTTTGAGGGCATGCCCTTGAAGGTGATATTGGCTCCTCAGGCCCTCGTCTCTTTCCTTGTTTCCTGATTAGCGTGAGGTGAACTGGCCTCTTCAGCCACATGCCCCTGTCGTAATGAAAGACCACCCAGAGGGTGTCTTAACCACGTGGAGACCCTCGCCCAAGAACCGAGTCCGAGCCACTGGATGCAAAGCAAGAGGCAATTTTTTTTTTATTGTTCACATAGGGCCTGTGGGTGCTGCAGTCACATGGAGAACTGAGCGCCCCGGGCTGGGTTTTGGGGCAGATTATATAGGGTAGGGGTAGGCAGAAGCGAGCGTACAGAAGCAGGTGCATGGCTACAGGGGTCTCATTGGTCAGTTTTAATGAGGCCATGAGGTCATGTCTAAGACAGGTGTCGGCTTTCCGCTGGGTGCCTGACAGTTTGGGGGCTTTTTGACAGTTTGGGGACTTTCCATTCCTCCCCCTTAATCTTGTTCATGCGGGTGGCATAACTCCTGGTGTCTAACCGCAGGCATCCTGTTATGCAGACTTGACAATAACATCTGTGCCTTTGTTATGAGCCCCAAGACCTTGTTATGAGCCCCCAGTTCTTGGTTCAAGCCTTGCTTATAATGGCGTTACAGCAGCTAAACAGCCAGGCGTGGGTCTTTCAGTAATGCACTGTGCTTCTGCAGTCCCAAAGCATAGGGCTGAGAGACTGAAGCTGCTGACCTGTCTGTCACACAAGTCTTTTCTTGGGCTTGTCTTCTCAGTGGCAGGAGGCTAACTGACTTGGGGAGAGGATGACTTGTGGGTGAGCCCAGTCTAGTCACCTTGAAAGACTGTCTGATAGCCTCCTTTGGGCCTGGAGAAGATGCAGGCAGGGAAAGACAAGGGTAAGTGGTTTGGCTTGAGCCGCTAAAAAGACCAAGTTGGAGTTGGTAAGGTGGAAAGGGTGTGGGAAGAGCTGCTCCCTGGGGGAGCATGAGGTGACATTTCAGACATGTTATGTTTTAAGATGCCAAATCGCCATCCTAAAGCAAATGCCAATTGTGAAATTGTTTACATGACCTGAAAGTCAGGCAGAACACTCAGGCCTATGATCGGAATGCAAATGAGTTCTACATACACATGGCATTTGAAGCCAGGAGTTTGATGAGATCGCCAGGGATGTAGATAGAAGAGATCCAATTATGAAACTCCAGGGCACTTCTGTGTTTAGACATAATATGGGGACATCAAACAAGACTAAAGAGGCCTATAATCAACAAGACAGAAGCTAAACTAGGCAGTGAGGAAAAGAGATTCACAAAATTGGGGACAAACAGCCATTCCAAATGGCACTGACCAGCCAGGCAAGCCACACAATGAGGACACAGCATTGGCTACTTTAGCAAGGAGATTATTAATGATGGTCACAATTTCTACAGGGCCTAAATCCAGATTATGTAATCAACTTTGAGTCTTGTTAATCTTGCTCATCTTTTTAAAATAAGAATATGTAACTGGACGAGGGTGGCACACACCTTTAATCCCAGCACTGGGGAGGCAGAGGCAGGCAGATCTCTGTGAGTTCGAGGTCAGCCTGGTCTACAAAGTGTGTTCCAGGAGAGCGAGAGCTATTACACAGAGAAACCCTGTCTCAAAAAAACCAAAAGAAGAGAGAGAAAGAGAGAGAGAGAGAGAGAGAGAGAGAGAGAGAGAGAGAGACTATGCATGCAAGCTTCTCAGATAGAATGAACATGAAGCTTACTCGTGTCTTGTGTCCTTGCATGGTGAAAAGAGTATTTGTTGAAAGAACAAATAAATTC